AATTAGCACCCACAGCTCAGAGCAGGCTCCTTCTCGGCTCCTCTGCCTGTGCAGCCCGTTAGTCTTCGACCTCAGCAGGTACAAAATCAAACTCGCCTTCCTCGTCCTCCCCCACGGAGCCCTCAAGCAGTCACACCACCAACTCGGCACTGCCCAATCTGAAACCCTGAGCCGTCAGGTGGAACCCCCTCGACCCAGCCGTTCCCATCCCGCGCGACTCCGGTAAGCATGGACCTTGTCAGAGCAGCTGTTTCCTTCGGAGCACAGCAGCACACAGCCTGTGCAGGTACGCAGGAGAGCAGGGACAGCTCCACGTGCTGACACGAACGGCTCTGTCCCGTCCTCCGCAGCAGGCTGGCCGTGCCCAGGCTCTCAGGTGGCCTCAACTTCTGATTCCAATAAAAACTCTATGATGCTTCCCACACCACACTATACTGCACCCCAAAACACAAGTCAACTACTGCAGCTGGAGCACAAGAAACTGTCCCCCTCACTGAGAGCTGTGGTGCTGGTCTCCCACAAGAGCCTTCCCAAAAGGTACCCACGGGTCACTTTGTTATGACGTCACCTCACATGATTTAAGGGCCCTGCAACAGATAGGACCCCCCATACCCGCCCCTCCCTCTATCACAACCATGGCCACGTTCAGGCTTCACCATCTCTCAGTGGAGTGTCATAAGGACTCCGTGTGCTGTGCCAGCAGGTGACATAGTGGTTAAGGTGCTGGAATCCCATATGGTCAACCACGGTTTGAGTCCCAGACCCAGCGACTTGAAACTCACACCAGGCACGTGTGTGTGTGTGCCCGAAATCCCAGGAGGAGAATAGAGGAAAGAGGACTGTGGTGTAACCACCCCCCCGGGGGGGTGATTTCTGGCTGTCTCTGCCTTTCTGGCAAGTGTACACACTCTTTAGCAAAAATCAAAACAAACAAACAAAACAAGGACTCCGTGTGCCACCTGTGCCTCCCTACCACTCTCTCTAAAACAGAACCTGCCATGAGGCGCCCCCTGGCCAACACCAGCCATGACTGCTGAGCGTCCTCCTTCCTCGCACCCCTCACCTGCCCCGGCGTCAGCCCCTCAGTCACCAGGTTCTCTTACTGCTGGCCCTTCGCATGTAGCACAATTTATATTCATAAAGGTGGAAAATCTCTTCTGAAACTATATGAAAATTCCACTCAGCTCTTTAAAATATATGATTCCATCCTGAACTCTGAGCAATTCTGTACTGGAGAAGAGTGCGATTCCCGTTTGCCATCTGCTCAATCCACATGGCCACTGTGGGCCGAGTCTCAGCCTTGGCATTTGTGGTAGGAAGGAGCTCACTCTCCCTCCGTGGTCAGATGATGATGGGGCCTGGCGCTCAGGAGGGAGGAAACCACAACCTGGGCCTCTTAGACTCTCAAACCAAGGGGCTCTGATCCGATTTAACAGTTCGAGAAACCTCTTCAATTCACTTCTACAGGTTGATCACAAATCCTACACCTGCTTCACTCCTCTTTACTCAGTCCACCAACCGATGAGTAAAGACAGAAACCTGAAGGAAATTTACCAGCCCTCATCACCTCCACCACATCATGTAATTAACTAACTTGCAGAATTCAAAGCACAATGAAAGGGTCCTCAAAAAATTGTGGAGGAGGCGAGGTTTTGTTTCCGTGTTGAAGGGGATGGGCAGCGGTACATGTGATGTGACACTCGATGAGCCAATCCATCTGAGACGACATCAGGTTTGCATCTGGAGACCTCCCTGAGCACACTGAGCACATGTGTGACCATGGGCCAGGCTGGCTGAAGCTAGGGGAGGACTGTGGCACCAAGACTCTGTTTGGGGTGTTCTCTGTCTCTCTCTCTCTGTGTCTGTCTCACTCCTGGAAGAAATGAACTTTTTTTAAGAGACAATTTTTGCTATAGGGTGCATGCACTCGCCAGAGAGACAGAAAGCAAGAAATCACCCCCCCCGGGGGGGAATCGGCATGTCACAATCCGTTCTCCATTCTCCTCTCAGGATTTTGGGCATGTATGTACCCGCATCGGCATGAGTTTTAAACTGCTGGTCCAGGACTCGAACCGCAGTCGACACATGGCCATCCAGTGAAATAATCATTATGCCATCTGCTGGTCCTGAAAATAAACTTTAAAAAAAAGAAAAGAAAAGAAATCTTCATGAAAAATGCATATAATGGAAACAGAAATGCATGGATTTCAAAAAATTTTGCACCAAAATAAACTCATACTTTAATTCCATTTTCCCAGTACTTTTTTTAAAAGAATTACTTAAGCTTTTTTTATTATTACTATTATTTTAATTTGCTGTAGGGCACATGTGCTCACCAGAGAGACAGACAGACAGACAGACAGACAGGGAAAATGAGTGTACAAGTTACCAGGTCCAGATTTGAACCATGGTCAGCCATGTGGAAGTCCAAAGCCTTAACCACCACGCCACCTGTTGGCCTCTCCACGTTGTTTTTTTTTTTTTGGTTGGGGTTTTGTTTTTTTTTGTTTTGTTTTTTGGAGCGGTTTTTTCACTATAGGGCACGTGCGCTTGCCAGACAGACAGAGAGAGACAGAGAGAGAGAAAGCAAAAAATCCCCCCCCAGGAGGGATGGCCACGCCGCAATCCCTTCTCCTCCATTCTCCTCTCGGGATCTTGGGCACGCACGCACACGCGCCTGGCGTGAGTTTTAAGCCACCGGGTCCAGGATGCGAACCGCGGTCGACCACGTGGGAGTCCAGCGACATAGCCATTACGCTAACTGCTGGTTCCCCCTCCATGTATTTTTAACATTCCATTACCTGTATAATACAATAAGTTCTTATCTTTTTGTAATAAACTTGATTGTTTTTGAACAATAACATCTTTAGACTTGTACATGCTCACAATGAAACCTCCAATTCCTCCCAGGCTCGTAGTTATATTTTACCAGTTAATGTAAGCAAGCTAGATCAGTAAGAATTTCGAGTAAAAATTTCCTGTCTTGGGCCAGCAGGTGGCATGGTGGTTAAGGCACTAGACTCCCACATGGCCAACCACAGTTCGAGTACTGGACCTGGTGGCTTGAAAATCACTCTGGGTATGCACACGTTTCCAAAATTCCAAGAATGGAGGAGAAAGGATTACAATGTGGCTATGCTTCCTGGAAGGTGATTTCTCACTTTCCTCTCACTGTCTTTTCTTTCTCTGACAAACACATGCACCTATGGCAAAAACAAAACCAAAATGCCTGTGGGCTGTGTCCTGGTGGTCTGCCTTAGCTCCAGGGGCTGAGATCAGATATCACTAAGTGGAGCAAGGAGAACTCCTGGCAGGCAGCCGGAGCAGATAGAAGGGAGCAGCTGGCCATGGTACCAGGTCCTAAAATCCTGTCCAACAGGTAAATGACATGCTAGAGAAAGGAAAATGCCAGATGGAGAGGGAAAATCAGCGATTGGTTTGGACTGTAGACTCAAAGCCACTCACACCTGCTGTGGGTCTCTCCACGCACCTACTCCGCACAAGCCACCATGTCCCTACAGGACAGACACTGAGTGGCCACACTGGGCACCTGGCAGCCCCAGTTGTGAGGACACAGCCAGGAAAAGAGCAGAGCACGTTCAAGGACCTGCCTTAATAGATGTTAAATATGTAAATTCCATTCTATTAGCCTGCGGTGAACACATTTTTTAAATCACATATTCTAAAGACTATTTCATGTTCTAACATTGGGAAGACTCATATCATTGGGTCTGGGAACACTTGAAATGTATTGCATGGAAAAAAATCTAACACTAAATACTATAGGTTTTAATACGCAACTTATGTTACATGACATTGTTCTCTATAAAGCAAGCAGTTTGTGCATGTAATTAATTTCAACTTAAAAAGAACACTTCATGGAAGAAAGCATGTAAAGCTGAGTGGAACACTTAGAACATACCATAACCAACATTTCTTCTCGTTCTCTGTAATGCTTTATTTTGTTGAACAAGATTAATTAAATACCATAAGTAGGGCCTATAACTCAGCTCAGTTTTCCTTTATAGTAACATTAAAACCCTAGAAAAAATAGCATCTTGACTCAGCTTCCTCTACCATAGTAAGTGCAGTACTTAGTCATCTGGCTGCTTCTCGAAGCTCTGGAAGAACCGAGCTGGTATCCTATCCACATCCCCCTCAATGGTCCTCGTCGTTAGAGGCCCGAGTAGGTCCTTAGCCCTTCCCAGGTCCAGCTGATCTGAAAAGTCCTCTCCCCAGCCCCAGAGAGAGAATTCTGATTACTTAACGCTATCTAGTTAACACCATCTCTCTTGCTAGTGACCAGGTTCGGCATGGGGAGATGGAGCAGATCCACTGGGAAGGATTTTCGGAAAGGGTTTTGCAATGTGTGAAGAACGATGCGCATGGCCAGTACGTGACGTGGTAGTTAAAGCGCTGAACTCCCACACGGCCAACCATGGTTCAAGTCTCAGAACTGAGAGCTCGCTTTCTTGCTCACTTGCTCTCTCTCACACTCTCTCTCTCTGCCTCTCTGTTGAGCACATACGACCTATAGCAAATTTAAAAACAATAATAATAAATAGAATTAAATAAATAATTCTTTTTCAACTAAATGAATCATTCTAATAAATAAATAAATAAAAAGAGCAATGTACAAGGAAAACCTTCCCTTCGACTTCCAAACAGAAAGATCCCAGGAGGTGATGTAGGAACTCTGGCAACCATCAGGGGCCCAGGAGGAACTAAGAGACGAGGTCAAGCTGAAGCACCAGGTGGAATCCAATCCCACCTCTGAGCTGCCGAAATACCCAGCCCTAGGATCACCAACCTCAGCCTTCAGGTCTCTGTTGGTTCTGGACATATTTATTCAGCTTTCTGTTATTTGGGGGGTGGGGGAGATAATTCATGCAAATATCTTTAAAAGAATTTTTAAACTATCTACGGAAGACTACCTTGAGTTTAAAATTTAAGCAATTTGGATATTAAGGGATATAGTCCTCTTAGTTCCAGTTACTCACCATTAAAAAATAATGGTCCTCAGGTTCAGCACGAAGGTATTTAAAAACTACCTGTTCCATGAACCTTTCCATAAGATCCCAGTCTTCAATGATTCCATGTCGTATTGGCCACTGAAGCGAGAGAGAGCAAGACATGGTAACCTTCAGACCCCAGCAGCCAGAGCAACAATTCAGCAGCACAGGCACAGAAAAGACTGCTTGGGAAGTTAACATTAATTCACATAAAGAAATAACAGGTACTTTAAAAGAAATATTAAGTTATATTACTGCTTATGTTCTACTCAACCTATTTTTTTAAATATTTTGGTTTGTTTATTTTTTAGTTTAGTTTTGTTTTTTTGTTGTTGTTGTTGTTTTTGTTTTTTGTTTTGTTTTGTTTTGTTTTTGCTATAGGGTGTGTGTGCTCATTGGAGAGAGAAAGAGAGAGAAAGAGAAAATGAGAAATCACCCCCCTTGTGGGGATGGCCATGCTGCAATCCCCTCTTTTCCATTCTCCTCTCAGGATCTTGGTCACACGTACCCAGCATGTTTTTAAGCCACCAGGTCCAGGACTAAAACCACACAGTTGGCCATGTGGGATAACCTCCATGCCACCTGCTGGCCCCAATTTTTCTCTTTATATTCACAACAGAACACGTGCACGTGCTCATGAGTGTGTGTATGAAAGAGACAGAGACAGAGAGAGGAGTGCCCTCCACAGGGTCTAGCCAGGGCACAATCCCCCTCCTGCTGTCCATCAGATCTTGGGCACTTGCCTGCATGCCTGCATGTTTCAAGCTGCTCAACTGGGGATTCGAGCCTTGGTTTCCCTGCAGGATCTGGTTCCTCCTGAGTAACATTCTACCTCCATACCACAGCACCAGCCCTCTGCTTCACCCATTGCTAAGCACAGAGAATCACCTTAATAACGAGGGAACAGAGGGAGAACTGCAGCTAGCCTACCATACAACTGGGTCTGGAACTTTTTTTTAAGAAGAAACAACTGCTTAAATAATGTTAGTGGTTCTTTATAATCAGTCAATCTGCAATCTTCAGTATTTGACAGGTTAGTCAACCTGCAGTTTTCCAGGGGACAGAGCTTGCTTCAATGTGTGATCCAGTGTATCCCAAGTCAATTCTGCATTCCAGGCTTTGTTAATTCACGTGATTAACCACTCAAAAACATTCCTATTCCAAAATAACCACCACACCACCTCCGTTCAAACATAAAAATATAAATACATTCGACAACTCATACATACAGCTTCTAGATAAATCTACCATTCTGCATTATTCTACTGTTACGTTCTCAGCTCTGCACTTAAGGAAGTAAATTCCTTTCAGAAATTTTACTCTAGACGCAGCCTCAGTGGCACAGTCATGGCATACTGACCGTCAGTGCTGGAAGCCACACAGCCGACCAGGCTTCAGATCCTGGGTCACCTTGAAACGTGCCAGGTGTGTGCACACCCAAGATCCTGGTGGAGTGCAGGGCTGGAAGAAGGGGTTTACAGTGTGACCAGAGACTGTAAGGAATACCTAACTATCTCATGTGCACATGGGCTCTCTCATGCTGTCATTAAATAAATAAAACAAACATCAAAGTTTACCTTTGTAGCATATGTAGGCTTATCAATGGCTTCATCCCCTATGAAAAAGTCAAGATCATCAACTCCCCTTAACACTCTCCTCTGGGCTTGGTCAACGACCTTGGCTGACTCTCTGATGGCAATACCTTAGGAAAAAAAAAAAAAGATTTCCATCACTGTCCACATTTATTTGAATGACCAAGAAATGATCATATAAGCCCTATGTATGTATAACTGATTCTCAATGTTAGGGTTTTATCTGGGCTCAAGGGTGATCACAGAAAAGACAATGTCAATGAGCACATAATACAAAAACAAGCTCTTGTATTCTAATATTAGTTTCAGTATGGCACAAAGGAACTTAGCTGGTCTGCTTTTAATGCTGAAAGAAGCTACATTACTAAATTAATCAGTTTCAGTGGAAAAATCCCTTAAGATAGTAAGTGAAATGCCTGTGAATTATTAGGTCATTGGAAAAGTCATAATGCATTTTTGCATAGAAAAATACATCATGACTTTTCTGACAACCATTCTAATATATACATCAGTAGGTTCCAATGTTTAAAATACAATGTAGAAAGGGACAAAATTCTGTACAAGAGGAACTGAAAAACTATGCCTGTATGTTTTTAATACACTTTAATAAAACTCTACTTCAAATAGTTTTAAAATATGTTTTTAGTTTTGTTGTAAGCAAAAAATAAAAACAAAAACAATGTGACTTCCCATGAAGAGGAAAAACTAGAAGGCTGTTGGCTCATACCTGCTGCAAAAAGAAAAATATAATAATCAAACAACCATTTCATATAAAATGTTCAAATATTGATGGCTTTATAATACATTGTTTTAATAAGCTCTTAATCTTAAATATTTTGTTGTAGGAAAAGTCATGACATATTTTTCTATGTTTTTCTATGCAAAAATGCGTCATGACTTCTCCAATGACCCAATATTTGGGAAAATACTTAGTAGTAAATGGTATAAAAGTTCACTCCAGAATTTAACATTGAATGGAATGTGAAAAGCTTTGCAAAGACACACTCTTCCACTTAAATCCCTAACACCTGGTCACACACTGAGCTCTGGCAAATGCCACCTATGCCTTTGTAGTCTTCCTTGGCAGCCTGACAGGATGGACGTGTTTCAATGCTTTCACTGGCCCTTCTATTCACCTATTAAGGTGTTTTTTTCCATGATGAATTAGAACTATTACAATCAGTCTACCCACTATACTGCAGATTCCTTGCAGTCAGGCGACATCCATCTTTTACTGCTTCTCTACTGGAGATACCTATGGCAATGACTATAATCATAATAATAGTTCATATCTATCAAGCACGCTAAGCATTTCCTTCTATACACTGCTTCATGTGATCCTCACAACAGCTTACAAGGTAGGTACTATTTTTTCCATCTTACAGAGGTGGGGGCTTATCAGGTCACACAGCTTTAAGGAATAGAGCCAGGATTTACACGTAAGCAGGCTACTGACCTGCAAAGAGCAGGCCTTACAGAAGTATTTGTGAGATTAATATTCTGCTTCACTCAAATGTTTATTGCGAGCTGAAAAAAATGTCCAAACCATACCTAAATACATCCAAAGAAATCCATGCCAAAATACATGGCCAACCAGGAATTCTGATCCCTGGCCTAGTCAACCTGAAACATGCCAGGCATAGATCCTGACAAGCTGAAAAACTGGAGTGGTGAGACTCTGCTGAAGGAGTGCTCTTTCTAACACATGTGTAAGTTTTATCATACATTTTAAATTTTTAAAGTATTCCTTATGATGAGCAAATCAAGACATTACCAGATATAGGAAAACTAATATAATTTGCATACCTACTTTAAAAAATAGCAAAAGTAAGTTCTCTAAAGAGAGAGGAAATGATAAAAGAAGGAATCTGGGAAAAGGAAGGAAAGACAGAAAGATAATGCAAAGAACAAAACACAGAAACAACTTCCATTTCCTCTTAAGTTTTCTGAGTATGACTGGGAGTTATATCAAAAAATTATAACACTAGATTTTTTCACAGAGTGTCCTGTTACCAGGAGACCAGAACCTGAAAGGAGAGGAACAGTCTCTAACCAGCTCCATGGCTCCTGCGATCTAGCCCTTTTGGGAGAAAGGAAGATGCCCCACTGATAACTGGGCCTCCAGCATACAAAACTCGTGTGATTGAACTTCCAAGTTTGGGAAGAAACCGACCATCCACCAGATGACTAGAAATTGCTGTAGGACCACAAGAAATATGGGGAAGCAGGAAAATACCTCTCCCACAAGGGAAACAGATAGCTCCTCTTCATCCACACACAGTTCAATGGAAATCATGGAAATGTCTGATAAAGAATTCAGAACATTCATAATGGCAAAGCTAACAGAGATGGTAGAGAAGAGAGACAAGGAACTGCTGAAGAGGAAGGAGAAAGGAGTTGAAGAGTTCCAGGAGGTGAGGAAATTCATGCAAGATCTAAAAAAGGAATTTCACACTTTACAAAAGAATCAGATGGAACTGTTAGAGATGAAGGCTATAATACAAGAAGTCAAAATCTCCCTTGAAAATATTAAAAGCAGACTAGATCACACAGAAAATAGAATCTCTAATGTAGAAGAGAAAATGACTGGCCTAGAAAAATCCACCACGAAGACTGAGAAAATGGCCCAAAAATTTGAGAATAATATGTGAGAAGTACTAGATACAATTAAACGTCCAAACATCTGGATAATAGGCATCCCAGAAGGTGAAGAGACTCATAAGGGCATTGATAATCTATTCCATGAAATCTTACAAGAAAATTTTCCAAACCTGGAGAGGCACTCAAAGATTCAGTCCCAAGAAATACAGAGGACCCCAAATAGAATCAACCCAAAAAGATCTTCTCCAAGACACATTATAGCCAGATTGACCAAAACCACAGACAAAGACAAGATACTAAGACTGGCAAGAGAAAAAAGGCAAGTTACCTACAAAGGGTATCCCATCAGACTAACGGCAGACCTCTCATCGGAAACAATGAGAGCGAGGAGAGAATGGGAAAATGTATTCAAAGTATTAAGGGAAAAGCAATTTCAACCGAGAATTCTGTACCCAGCAAGGTTATCGTTCATTTGGGAAGAAAAGACACGAACTTTCCCAGATAAACAAAACCTGAAAGAATTTACCAGCACCAGACCGGATCTCCAAGAAGTTCTTAAGGGAGTGCTATGTCAGTAAAATTAAATGCAGACACACAGAAATAAGAGTTCAGAAACTAAGAAAATGGGCAACTTAATTGTAGGGCCAAAAGCTGGAGTTGAGTATTACATCCCAGATTTCAATCTGGAACATCGAACCTCAACAGATACAGAAGAAAGATTAAGTACATGAGACTGAACTGATGAAACAGTATTCTACGACTTGACTAAAATATTGCTGCTTTTCTTCTAAGCTTTGTTGTCTGGTTTTAAGGACTTTTGTCCTGTCTTCAGCTATCAATAGATTCATGTTCCGACTATTTGAACAGAATACTAACCTGTTTCTAGGCTTTAAGTTTCAAAGAAATATCCTTACCAGTTCAAAACTGCTTTTCTTGAAACCATCGGCTGATCTTGCTATTGAAAGTAGTTAGATTACTTATGATATTGTGTGACCAACGAAATGTTGGGGGAAAAGGGATTGAAGACAACTGTAGACAGCAGAGATAGTGTAATAAGAGAGTGGAATAGGGCAGAGGGCTAGACATGGGGTAAAAAAACATATATATGAAAGTAGAAATGGAATATTATGGATGATAACATGCATTATTAAGCCACTATATAGTATATTCTAGATGGGAAACCACATTTAGAATGTTGTGATGATGCTCAGGGAATGAATGTAAATTAATAAAAAAAAAAAATTTTCAGAAGAAAAAAAAAAAAGGCATTAGAAATACCTATTTGATGACTGCAGTTAAGCTATATAGCCCTAGTTAGGTGCTACGTTATAGTATGTTCATTCTATTCACTGAGGTTTATGCCTAAAGTCAGTCTTGTGTTCATGGATATGTACATATCAGCTGTGCTTGCTATTGAAAATATTTAGATTTATTAAGATATTTAGTGAAACTGTGCTTGGTTGAGCCAACAGACAGTGTATTTTGGATGAAAAATTCATTTTGTATACTGTAATGATGTATAGCATATTAATGTTAAAAAAGAAAAATAAATTAATAAATTAAAAAATTATAGCACTAAAGGAATCTCATTGTATATAGAGGAAAAAGTTCAAACAATTTCATTAGAAATGGGGTAATAGCACATAAAAAGGAGGTATACTTTCTATGCTTCACTCAAATTGGCAAAAATGTTGACGCTAGTAGACTAAAAAAAAGATATGCATATAATGTCATAGCAAGAACAACCACTTAAAAAAACTATGCAAAGGGATGTACTCAAATACACTACAGATAAATAGAAATGGAATTATAAAAAATGTGAATGTAACCCATAGGAGGTAGACCTAACGAAACAAGAAACAAAAACCAAAAAAGAATTAATAGAAAAAATTCTAATCACTAATTACAATAAATATAAATGATCTAAAACATACCATTTAAAAGACAGATACCAATAGAATAGAGTTAAAAGTATGTCTGAACTCTGCTATCCACAATAAACTTCAAATTTAACAATACATATAAGTTCAAAGTAGAAGAATAGAAAAAGATATTTCACACAAACAACCAAAAGAAAGCATGAGGGGCTGGCTTTGGCTGAGTGGTAACACATAGCTCAAGAGAAGCCATATCCCACATGGAGACTTCAGTTTGAATCCCCTGCTTTGTCTTCCTAAAGCACACCAGGCGGGACCAGCAGGTGGTGAAGGCACTGGACACTCCTACATGGCTGACCACGGTTTGAATCCTGGACCTGGTGACTTGCTTTCTCACTTTCCCTTTCTCTCTGTGTGTGTCTCTCTGGTCAAATTAATAAATAAAAAATGAAATAATTGTAAAAAAAAATCTTTTTTAAATATTTATTTTATTGTTTTATTTTATTATTATTATTATTCATTTTTTTATTAGAGAGAGATGCAGAGAGAGAGACAGAGAGGGAGAGTGAGAAAGCAAGTCACCAGGTTCAGGAATTGAACCATAGTCAGCCATGTAGGAGTCCAGTGCTGGG